TTGAATCAGTCCCATTCTGTCCACAGATACTAAAATAATCTTTCCTAAAGCTGTTTCCTAATCTTTTTTGGAGTAAATAAAGTGTGGAATTGAAAAGGAAGCCAATTATATTGAAATACCAGTTATAAAAAAATTTTTAAAAACCAAGTTCAAAGACCCCAGATTAAGAAACTATTATGTTTCAAAAAATGTCTGCCTGATCATGTCACTACTTCACCCAAAAATCTTCAGTGACTTACCAATTATCTCTAAAAAAATATGTAAACAACTAATCTGGGTATTCAAAAGCCACTAACAATATGGCTCTGACCTACTCCTTTATGTACTTTTATTGATACACTTTTAATACAACAGACGCTTCCCCATGAAAACCCAAACAAACCTCCTGTTAAGTATATTTCCCCCAAACAGTTAAGAAAAGCAAACTAATAGAGTGATTCAGTTATAGTATATGCCCTTTTACATTTTTGTAGTTTACTGATGAACAGAAAAGGACCTGTGCTTTATCTTTAATGACTTGATTCTAACACTATCCATTGTTTTTAATCTGAGTTTTGCTGCCTTTTATTGTTATCTTTACTTAAGATGTTCAAACCTACTTTTTCATAATTATTTTATATATTGCTACCCTTAAAATCTCTATATTTCCAGATAAATTGGTCTACTAACATTCCAAAACTGACATTTCAGCTTCTAGCTCTGAAATGGCTGTTCAGTACATCAACAAGCATTTATTAAGCATCTTCTAGTGTGTCTGATAACTGTGCTGAGTGCTGGGGATACAAAGAAAGGCAAAAAAACAGTCCCTGCTTTCAAGGAGCTCCCAGTCTAATGGCGAGACAACATGTATACTATGTACAAATAAGATATATATTGGATAAATGGAAGAAAATAAACTTGAACATGATACTCCATCTGCTGGGTGTGAATTTTCACTAGCTTTGTCCCAGACCTGAAACTTTCTCCCTCTTCATCTCTACCTCCTAACATCCTTTAAGTCCCAGCTAAAATTCCATCTTCTACAAGAAGCCTTTCCCTATTTCCCTTAAGGCTAGGGCCTCCCTTTCTCAGTCAAACTTCTTGAAAAAGCTGTCTACACTCATTGCTTTCACCTCCTTTCCTCTCATTTGCCCTTAAATCTTTGTAATCTGGCCTCTCATTTAATCATTCAGCTGAAACTACTTTTCCCCAAAGTTACCAATGCTCTCTTAACCCTCAAATTGGATGGTCTTTACTCAGTCTTGACCTTTCTCAACCTAGCTGTTGCATTTGACATTTATGATCACTCTCCCACCTATGGGGTTTAGTAACACTACCCTTTCCTGGTTAGCGTCTTACCAGTTTAACTGCTCCTTCTTCACAATCTCTTGCTGGCTCATCTTCCACTTGAGGTCCTCTAACTGTGGGTGTTCCCCTATGTTCTGTCCTAAGTCCTTTTCTTTTCTTTCTCCATAATCTTTCTTTGCATTCTCAGCAATTATTATGGGTTTAATTATCATCTCTATGCAGATGACTCCTAGATCTATATATCCAGGCCCATTCTCTCCCCTTGTGCTTCAGTCCCACATCACTAAATGACTACTAAATATTTCAAACTGAATGTCTTAAACTCAAAATGTCCAAAACAGAACTGATTATCTTTCCCTCAAAACTCTCCCCTCTTCTAATCTTTCCTATTTCTGTTGAAGGAGCCACTGTCCTTAAAATTACTCAGGTTCATAACCTTGGCATTATCCTTGACTCCTCCCTCTCCCTCATCCCATATATCCAGTCAAGTTGCCAAATCTTGCTGCTTCTGCCTTTACAATAACGTATCCCATCCCTTCTCTGCACTCCCACAGTTACTACCTTAGTTCAAGCCCTCATCATCTCTTGCCTGAATGATTATTGCAACAGTCTCCTAATTCATCTTCCTGACTCAGCCTCTATGCAATCCAGTCCTTCCTGCTGTCAAAGTAATTTTCCTTAAGTGCAGATCTGACCATGTGACTCCCCTACTCAACCAACTCCAGTTAACCTCCTATTGCCTCTAGGAAAAAATATAAACTCCTTGTTAGCTTTTAGAGCTCTCTACAACTTGCTTTGACTGAAAGTGCAGCAGTCACTTACATTCCAGATCCCAATACTGATAAGCATGAAAACTTTAACCTGCTCCATCTTGCTCATCTCCACCAGTTTGTCCCTCCTTAAGCTGGAGGGACTACTCCTAAGGGGGCTCCCCATACAAGTGCTGGACTTAGTGTAGACACCCAACTGCCGTTAGCCCTACTGAATCTTAGAATCACCACATTCAAGAGATCCATATTGCTTCCCTAGCATCAGAGACTACAGGTACATTCCACTATGACTGGCCCAAACTCTATTCCTTTTCCATGAACTATGGTTTCAAACCTTTTATATTAAGAAAGCCTCCAGACCTACCTTTAAAAAAATGATTATAATCAAGACATGGAAAGAAACGCAAAGGGTAAGAAAATGTGGATGGGTTGATGATCTTTACCTAAAGAAGAACACTCTCATTGATGATTATTTCACTGGATCCAGAGTCTCAAGAAGAGAAGATGAATTTTTCTGAAGGCCTTTTTGATGTTTGCAGGGATAATCACATAATTCTAAATATTTTTTCTGTACATGTGGCAGAGTAGGTTAATATTTTTTCTAATGTGTTATATGAGCCATACATTCAACTCAAATGATATTTAATGAAAACTTACTATGCACAAGGCACTGTACTAGGTTCTATGGGGGATAAAGAGAAAAATAAGACAAGAATCCTGCCCTTGTGGAACTTCAATCTAGGGGGATAGATAAAATATGCAATCTATAATACAAAATATTCAATTAATTAAGCACTGACTAAGTATAAAATGGTGCAACAGATTACAGTTACAAAACAATATACCCTAAAGGAACTTGGAATCTGTTGCAAGGAAACAACATGTACATATATATGTGTGTTTATGTGTGTGTGTATGTGTATGTGTGTGTATATACACACATCCACATATGTTTTTGTATATATGCATGTGTACATAATAGGTATACATAAAACACATAGAAAACATAATAGAAAAGACAGACCTGACCCTTAAGAAATTTACAACCTCATGGGGAAGAACATGTCTGACAATAAGAATGGTACAAGGGAGACTGAGAGAAGTTGGAAGGGGAGATCCACTGAGGGGAGGGACTATATTTCCCTCATTGGACACAAAGGGGAAACGGTCAGGGAAGGCTTCATGAGGAACATGGCACTACAGTGATGGATTAATGGAAGGGCCTCTAAGATTAACTGTGATGTGAAGATGTCTCAGCATTTTCCAAGCTATGCCAGGAGAGAGTAAATTCTGGTAGGTCCTATAAACCTGGAAAAACTTTGAATATAGGCCTGGCAATAGAATGTATGTCTTAAGAACAAGATTAGCTAAGTTTGGAAAGGCTTGTCAAAAAGTTGGGCAAAGGATAAAGAATTATTCAACCATAACAACTCAGAATACCTTTTAATAAGACAAAGAATGATTGTGATTTGCATTCATGGAAGGAATACCCAGACTAATCAAATCACGTATTGATTTCTAATTGTTATTATCATGAAGTAAAGAAAATATTCCTAAGTGAAATTCAACATGAAGACAGAATAATGCAGCAGAAAGAACACTGTTCTTAGAGGCAGAAGACTGCATGCAAGTTCAAGCCTAACTCTAACATTTACTCAACAAAGCACTTAAATTTTCAGAGTTGAATATATTCATCTATAAAATGGACAGCAAATTAGTGCAGTATAGTAGAGAGAGAAAACAGAGTCAGGATGACCTGGATTCAAGTCTTGCCTCTTGATACCCAATGACAAGGTGACCTAGGGCAAGTCACACTCTCCGGTGCTCCAGGCAATTCTACATAACTCTCCAAGGCTATAAGTTGCAGAGCAGCTGCCAATCTGCATTGGTAGGGGGAAATTTACTCACCAGGAATTTCTTATACTGGTGAAATCACAAATTCAACCAAAAAAGAAATAAAAAATGGGAATAAAATTTCCATTGTCTACCTTATATAGCTGTTATTAAGAAAGTACACTGTAAATCTTAAAGCACTTTATGGACCTCAACACAATGATTGTTGAGTTATTATTATTATTACTATAAGAATAGTTAATATTTTCATGCCTGCTCATCAAGTTTGGGTATCAGAACCATATTCTATAACTGCGAACAATTTATATAGCTGTTTATGTTGTGATGATTTCTGCTTTAAAAGTCTGAAAAAAATTTCTAGTGATTCTTTCATGATGAGATGCTATTTTTGAAGGGAAAGGGAGGGCAGTTAGGGAGGAGATAGGTACAATTTTTTTCATAATTTTTATTATTCGTTCCTCTCTTAATGGCCTATTCACAGTTCTCTATTTCCTGTTTCTTAGTATTTCTTGGATACTAAACTCCCACTTAACATTAAGACAAATTACATCAAGTGGACATCATAATAAATATTTCAAATTATATCAACTGAAAATAAGCTATAATAATGTATCAAGTATGAAAGACACGTACAGATTTTAAATGCTGTTCTGCCACCATTAGTAATACCATTTTTAATTTACACAGTGCCTTGTACTTTTCCCCACAGTGCTTTTATATACATCATCTCATTTGAACCTCATGATAACATATTAGGCACTCAGGGAAGATACTATTTATTATTATTATTATTATTATTATTATTATTATTATTATTATTTTACAGAGGTGAAAACTGAGGCCCAGAAAAGTTAAATGATTTACAGTGAGTCACTGGAAGAATCATAATAAACTCAGGTCTCCTGACTCTTTCCACTATATCATGCTGCTTCCCATTTGTGAGATTTCTATTTAAGTTACCACCAAAAAGGAGAGGAGAGGATATACTTTTAAAATTCTGAGTAAAACAAATTTAACAGAGCAAGTGTTGGCATCACTATATATCTTATAAAAAACACATTGTAACCTCTCAAAAACCAGCTTCCTTACTTGGAGCAGGTAGTCCTCCACTGGATCGTTTATACTTGCTCTCCTTTAAACTGGATGTGATTTTATACAGATGTCGGAAACCTGTTTTGCATTCTGAGGCAAAAATAAACTCTATTTCATCTTCATGACTTTGGGGGAAAACATAAAAGATATCGTGGATCTGTGAAATAAAAAGTTGAATTTACTATATATACCACTTAAATATCTTTCTATACACAAAATAAAATAATTTGATATACTAAATAAAACAAAAATAACTATTAATATATCTTCAAGTATAAAAAAATTACTACCACCAAAGTATATATTGCAACAACTACAGTCTTTGCCTATAGCTTTCAAACTTCATCTTAACTTGACAGATTTCTTACCTACTTTGAGATGAATTTGTATTTTTAGATGGAGGAAAAAATACAATCTTCATTTGATTCACCACCCCAATACCACCATAACATATCACCTGAGGTAATTTATAAATTTTTTTGATGCACATTTACTTAAGAAATAGTAAGAGAAAGGTTTAAAATTCTTATTGCTAAGAATATATTTGCTGAAGATAGAAAGAAAAGTTTTAGCTCAGATGAACCAAAATACATGAATATGATAAAATACAGTTTATAATATCACTACGATTATTTGGATTGTGGAAAATCATAGCATCACAGACAGAAAGTTAGTGAGGACCTTAGAGATCATTCTAGTCCAACATCCACTTTTTACAGATGATGAAATTGAGACACAGAGAGACTGAGAGAAACTATAGCAAACACAGGATCTACATAATTTTGTTTTTAAATTCCTTTTAAAATTCAACATTTTAACATTCCCTTTTAACTTTATTTAAAAAATACATATGTATATAAAATGGATAAATTTTTTGCTTAAACTACTTCTGGGAGAATTTAAAAATGGAAAAAAAAACCCTTCCAAATTTATCTAGATACTGTGTTTGCTACAGTTCTCTCATCTTGAAAATGCACAGTACAGAGCTTTAGAGAATATTCTCTTAAGGTCATTTCAGCAAAGCTGACTCTGCTGGAGAACATGTAACTGTAGACCAATACCTGATGTTTCCAGGAACTACTGTAAATAAGCAACCAGGGAGATGCCATTTCAATGGCATCAGCTTTCTATCTACATAACTGCTTAATTCTGGAACTCTGTTTTTAGTATTCTTATTATGCCAAAGAATAATGCAGTATGCCTTAGTGTTTTAACCTACATATGCTAAAAATGAAGGTTGTTTATTTTAAATGAGAAACTCTTACTTTCTAGAAGGAGAAGAAAGCACATAATCTTAAATTAAAGAAAACTGGAAGTTTTACTTCTGGTGAACCATGACAAACTTTCCTTGAGGCAATCAAGAAAGAGTGAACTAAAATGCTTCTGAAATGTTAAAAACCAGGGAAATAATTAATTTTTTCTTTCAGACTTTTTTTCTTTAAATCCATTATGACAGTTGACTATATGAAAATCAATGTTCGTTGCCATATTATGGAAATATTTAATCACCAACTCTAGAAAAAAGTCTTACATTTATCCAGATGTCTGTTGTTTCTTCATAAATAATGAGTGGTGTCACAGAATCAGGCACTGAATCTATTAGTTTCTGTCGTTCCATTGCATCATCTTCTACTGGGATAAATAATACAGGGGATATTAACACTATCTGTAGTCGGGTTTGAGAACGATCTAGTAGGATGGACCAAGCACTATTTATGTGAAAAAAGAAAAACTGATTAGAAAATAAGTGAGACTTAGTTTTAACAATACAATATTAATCTAAAAACTAGTTGCCAGGAATTGAGAAAATGTTTTTCAATGGCAAATTAAAAAGAGAATTGCAGAACTAGTTGATTTAATATGCTTATCAAAAACAATTAAGATACTTTATCCTTTTTATAAAAATTAAGAACATTTAATAGATAACCTAAACATTTCTTTCTTTAAATTCCCAAAGTCATATGGAATCTTTCAAATTATTTTTCATTTTAAAGTCAACATGTTACACAAACTGCATGCAGCCCCTATCTACCATAATTTAGATGGAAACTTTGCCTTTACATTAATTTTAAAATACTGACATATATACCTATAAGAAATGTATTAAAAGTGAATGCCTAAAAATTATCTTGAGAAAAAAGACAGTTTCAAATTCATATCTGGTAAATCTAATCCGAGTAAACAGTATTTAAGGTTGTAATAGAATTAAAATGCAGTTTTATTTATTCTCTATTCTGTTTCCCAATCAATAAGTCAGTTCGTCTTTGTATTACAACATTAATATTTCTGTAGGCAGATACTTTTTCAAAAAAAAAGCATATTCACAGTGAAAGATGAATCTAGAATTATAGATGTTTCTAAAGCTACTGATCCTAAACCCGATGTAAAGAGTAGATAACATACGCACTATTTTCCCTCTGGAGTCCATCCAGCTCGGGCAATATACTCAACTCCTTCAAATAGAACCTCAAAGGGTTGTACTAGTTCCTTATCCACCACATCTGCAATCTGTTAAAATCAATAGCAATTGAGTTATAGAGGACTCAATCATCAACAAATGAAAGTATTTAATTAGTTGTGTTATAGAAAGAACACTGGATTCAGTCAGAAGTGCTGGGTTGAGTCCAGCTTCTAACACTTAATTGGATGACTAGCAAGTCATCTGATCTCTCTGTACCTCAGTTTCCTCATCTGTAAACTGAGGATAACACTGTTTAGACTATTTACCTCACTGGTTTACTATGAAGAAAGTACTTTATAAGCTGTAAAGCATTACATAAACATGAAGGATTATTGTGATCATCTCCTATGATATATTTCATTCTTAGGTAACTAAAGGGGTAAGGGGAGTGAAGACTATGCAGGATACCAGTAAAGAGAGCTAGTACTAACCTGTTAGTAACTCACAAAAACGCCTTTAATGCCTACCCAAAGATCTAGCCAGAGAATCAACCTACACTAAAACGAGAGTTCTTGTGTCGTGGATCCCTTTGGCAGTCAGGTAAAGCCTGTGGACCCCTTCTCAGAATAATGTTTTTAAATGCAAAAAATAAAATACATGGAAAAATAAAATATATATGAAAGAAATAAATTATTTTGAAATATAGTGGTAGACAATGACTAGTTAATAACCAGAAAATAATGTGCTATATTTTACACTGGTTTCTAGAAAAAAAATTCAACAACTAAGATTGAGTGATAATGGTAAAACACAAACACAAACACACACACACACACACATACACACATATTGTTTGTTTTAAAAGTTCACAGACTTCAGGCTAAGAAACACTGGTCTAAAATGTCTTTTCTAAGCCTATACATTGATGCATCAAGAGAAAACCAGAAACATTTGCATATGTGAATTTTAAGTAATATTCCCTTGTATTTTGCTCCAAAACATATTTTTAACATTTGTTGTGTTTTTTCTCTGCCATTATACTCCTTTTCCTTTTAAATACTGGTAAAAATAAACATTACTTTTTCACTAAATTACCCTGATGTATTTCAAACAAAAACAAAATTTTGCAAAATACATGGATTACCCCAAGGTCATGAAGCAGTACAAAAGGAATTTGTGGTTATACTCAAATGGACCTGTGATCTCATGGATTTGAGTATTCCTTCCAATTATGAAGACTGCAATCCCTCCATGGCTGCCTTCTGTTCATATCCTTCCTTAAGTTCACCAGAGAGGGTCCACCTGAGAGGGTCCACCCAACGAAAGGTCTTGTTCATTTTTCCCTGACATCACAAGAATACCAGTGTAGTACACGGGCTCTCCATGGTCTATTTGCTGTGTTAAATCATCATGTGACTTTGCTCTTCCATTAACATTTTCTTTCGACTCCTCCTCTTGTAGAGGTGATATTGGGTTCTCAAAGGCTATGCTAGAACAGCACAAGCTCTAACAGGGCCTGCTTAACTGGAAAGGTTTCAAGTTCTGGCTAAGTAGTAGCCTACATATCTCATGTCAAAGGACCTGCTCATTTCAGAAAGGGTCATCAACAACCTAGTAGGTGAGGAATTTTTCAGCCCTAGAAATGCTCTATTAAGTTATGGAGGGGTTGCAATCTGCAATGGTCAACATATCAGTGAAATTATAGATCTTTAAAGTATAAAAATAGACTTTGCCACCTACAGAGGGACAATCTCCAGTTAACATCCAGAAAATAAGGTGTTATATTTTATACTAGCGTACAGGAAAAAACTAAGGCAGAGCAGTAATGACAGGTGATGATGATTTCTCTCTATACATCCTGACGCTGTTAAGATGAAAACTGCCTGTACTTTGAAAAATAGGAAATTAAATCAGTATGAAACAATAGCCTGTTCTTCAAAAAGTCCACAGATTTGTTCAACAGTCCTAATAAATTAACCTACAATGTTACTTAGTATAAGGGTTGTAAGGAATCACAAGAATTATAAAATCACAATAACTACACCTAAAAGACTATAGGATATTTTTTAGAAACTATTCAAGAAAAACTGCTAAGTTTTGACAAAGTATTACTATATGTATCAATGCCAAGTTGCTGAAACATCATTAACATCAAAAGTCCCACTCATATCCTGTTGTCCAAGAACAGAAATCATAGAAAGACAAGCTAGTCTCTATTTTTAGTACAAGAAACATAATGTAATGATTATTTTTCGAATCATTATTTCTAGAACAGTATAAGTATTTAGTCTTTTTGAAATTGCATAAAAGGAATAGAGCTGTAGTCCCTCATTAGAATCCCAAAGCTGATTGCCTATATGCATATATTCTGGGGAAACTGCTATTTTTCCCTCTTAAATAAACATTATGCTATTTCATAGCAGACTCGTCTCCCTGTGTGATTTCCAACACAACAAGATTCAATTAAATGTCAAATGAATTTAGATAATAAACTTATAATTTAATACCTACCCTTCCTTCAGCATCAATCATTACTTCTGACATCTTAAAAGTGACTTTCGGATTTGCTGTGCCTTTTCAAAAAGACAATAAAAATGAGTTGCATCCAAATTCATATATAACCAATATTTCCCAAACTAGACATATGTACCACTTCAATGCACTGTACATTTTAGTGAAGTCAATGCTATCAATGAATATTGAAAAAAAATGGCACTATTATATATCACAGGTCCTTTCTGGGGCAAAACATCATCATATATTAGTATGCTGATGGCTGCAAAAAGAAGGGGCTAGCAAATGTGTATCCATTTTTATAATTAAAACCTTGAAAACAATATAAAAGTGAAACAACAGATCAAATGTAGTAATTTAATAAGATGATAATAATATCTTCTAGCATTTATATAGCATTTTAAGGTCTGCAAAGTGCTTCACAAATATTATTTCATTTTACCCTCAACAATCCCATTTTACAGATACAGAAAAACACAAACAAGTGACTTGCCCAGGGTCATGTAGTTGGTAAGCTTCTATGAATAGTTTTCTTCACAATACAGGCAAGTATTCCACTTCCCAACTGCCGCTAATAGCTAACCCATCATTATATGTGAAATAAAGCAACTAGTATGACAATAAAGTGTTACAGGTGAAAATAATGGAAGAGAATTGAAAATTATCCATGAATTCAACATGTACTAAATTTACTAACGTAAACTAAACCTATCTTTACTAAAGACTTGGTAATAAAAGATAAGTATTGAAGGTTCAGATAATTAGAATAGCTGATACAGAAAGGGAAATTGTGTGAAAATAAATGCCAGCAACAGGCCTTACCTGTTTTGGGATATCTGAATGAATCTGTCCTTCTGGTCTCTAACATTGGGGATGTAACATGAATAATTTCCACTTCTGATTCATCATTTTCTTCATATAGAATTCGAAGAACTTTTCCTCCACTGGGAGCTTAAAAGCAATTTGTTACTTTTGAATTCAGAACAATTTAAAAAACCAAAAAAATTCTCCTAGTGTTAATATTACACAACTAGTAAAAATATTTTTATATATGAAGTTGTCACTACTGATACACTATCAATATGACAAATGTAATGATTTTTGCTATAGTGGTATGAGTTTGTTCTAAGCAAGTTTAAATAATTTCATTATGTACATTTTCAAGGTAAACAAAGAATAAACATTTCTGATGTACTTAGGGCTGAGTTTTCTTATACACTGTTGAGATATAGATATAGATATAGATATACTCTGTTAAAAATAAACTGTTAAAGATACTTAAAATGTTTTATGGCTTTCAAACTTTTCATGAATGTCAAGTCCCATAACAAATGTAATTACAAGTGGAATGCTAGCTTAATATGAGCTAACAATGGTATGTCAACCAAAAAAAAAATACAAAAATGATCTGAGACTTCATTAATAAAGGCACAGTGTCCAGAATGAGGTAGGTAATAGTCCCACTGTACTCTGGCTCAAAGAATCTCTCAAGTATTGCATTCAGTTCTGAGTGCAAGATTTGAGGAAGGATACTGATAAGGTATAGTATATCCAGAAGAAGATGATCAGCATGGAGTGATGGATGGTGATAATGCTATATAAGGATAAGCTGAAGCAAATAGAGGTGTTTAGATCTAGAAGACTACTTAAGAGGGTCATAAGAATGATCTTCAAAATTATGAAAGACTGTCACATGGAAGAGATGTTAGACATGTGCTAACTGGTCTCACAGGGCAGAATTAGGAGCAATAGATAGAAATCGGAAAGAAACAAATTTTGGCTCAATGTAAGGAAAAACTTTACAATTTGAGCTGTCCCCAAGTACAGGAGATGTGGAGGGAGGAAGTGGCAGGTTCCTCTTCACTGGAAATCTTCAAGCACAGGCTGACTGACCCCTTCTTAGGGATGCGGTAGAGAGGATTACAGTTTATGTGTAGATTGGACTAGATGACCTCTAAGATCCCTTCAAACTCTGAGAATCTTTGAATAATCTCTACAACAAAAAAGACTGCCAAACCCCAGCTAATGGCCTACTTATCTCAAGAAATATTTTATAAAACAAGATTCTAGTACAACAAGAGAAGCACAGTCCATTAAAGTAGCATTATTTGTCCAACCTTTTAAAGTCAGCTGTACACTCATGAATTCCCTAACACACATGAGACAGAAGGCCTTTGTCCACTCCCATTTAACTCAGACCAATCCAACCTCACCCTTTACCTCAAAGTCATTTCTACATATTTGCATATGTGTGTGTGGATGTATATATACACACATGTCATCCTCTTTTCTCTATCATGGTTGCTACTACCTTCTATATGAAAACTAGCAAGGTGTCATGAGGAAACTTAGGACAATGAGATATGATAAAAAATGTTTTCACATGACATGAAATTGTCCGAATGCAATGACTGGAAAACAATGACTTAGGGTTTAATGCAATGGAATTTGTTCTATTTCATCTAATTAATATTTTGCCTAGAGAAGGCCAGTCCTGATTTTTATCACTCTGAAATCTTTATTATCACTATCTAAGACTTAGAATCTGGGCATAGTACTGAATAGCACTGCAGTAGATGAGTCTTAAAGTTATTTTTCTGTTATCCAGTTAACAGGCTAGATTTAATACACTTACTTGGTTCAGCCTCTGGACACCACCAATAACCAGAATATCTATCAAATTCTTCCTGAAGGACAAAGGTCGCCACCCCAGCTGATCTTGGGTCCTCTTCCATGTTAGCAAGCTCTGAATAAACATAAAACGTATCATCATCACAAATAGCTTCAAATGTCTGAAGCCAGAAAGCAGTATAACTATTTCATTCTGCATTTTTTTAAACTAAGATTTAAACTAAGAAGAGCACAGATAACATTTATGGTGAACCAGTATACACAGAAATAATAATTGTGACCATCAACTAAGATTTACAAAGCACTTTCAAGTTTTTAAGGGCACTTTCCTTGTAACAAGCCTATGAAGCAGATAATAAAAGTATCTACATTTGACATTGAGAAAATTGAGGCTCAGAGAGGTTAAAAGACTTGCCTGAGCTCACAGTCACTAAGTTTCAGAAGTGTGTATATAGTATACATAGTATATCATATCATTATATACACTGTTCCTTTTTTCTCATACTTTGTTGAGTCAAACTGTACTTGGTTCTTCCAGTGTTACACTCCAGCTCTCATTCTTACACTGGCCATTCCCATGCCTAGGACACATTCCCTATTCACTTTTACCCCTTAGAATACCTAATGGCTTTTAAGAAATAGTTAAGAGTATTACCTTTGAACAGGATTTGTTTACTAACATCCTATGCTATTAGTTACATCCCTCATTATCTTATGTTTAACTGCCTTTGTTTAGTCTGCATATATTTACTCTGTATATACTTGTACGTGTTTTCCTCTCCTCCCCCTGCTCCCAGCTCCAACAGAATGTAAGCTTGAGATTGGGAAGAGCTGTTTCATGTTTTTGTCTTTATATATATCCACAGCGTCTGGCACAAGTAGGTGCCTTAATAAATGCTTATTGATTTTGTGCTTATGTCTGCTTCCTTAAGTGGACAGTAAATTCTCTAAGGGAAGAGAATATGCTTTACAATTCCCTTATATCCTTCCACAACATCTAAGTCAGGGTTCTTTAAATTGTAGAGGTTCAACAAATGTTATTCAGAGAGAGACTGAGTAAAATCTGATTGTTAGAATTGTAACTAAGTATCTAATAGCCTGTAAATGATACACTAAACAAATGCAAGAGATCTTTAATGGTAAAATCAATTTTTCCTTGGAACCATCAGAAAGGTCAAAATCAGAATGCCTATTGCAGGCAAACCAATGACTTCAAAGTGTAAATGAATTAGTCCAAGGCTCCCCACTAGACCACTCTAATTTATTACCATATCAACAGTAGCCACATCAATTAATATTTACTGAGCATATCCTGAAAGAATTTCAACTTCCTCAAATTATTTTATTACTTCATCTACCTTGGGGAAGAGGAGAAGAGAATCAAAACACCCAAATACCTCTTTTTGGCCATATTTATTCCTGTCTCATTCTTTTTCTCCCTCTTTTTGCATGGATTGGTAACCACTTAACCATTTTCTCAACCACCAGTCTCATCCCTTGTTATTCAAAACCAAGAACTATCAATTCACTCTCATAAATAAATATATCCCATTTCTCTTGTCACTACTCTATCCAAGACCTTATATCAAATCTGGATTAGTCATCCATTCCACATAGGTTGATGTTCTTGGCCTCCTAACTTTTTTACTCTTTCTCAATAGGAAGTCTTGTCTAATCAGAGCAGTTTCCTCACTGTATACCACATTTACTCCTACTTCTGTATTTTTACCCATGCTGCCCTTTCTGCCTGAAATACCTTCATCTCTCTTACCTTATCTAAATCTTAAACATTTCTCAAGTCCTACCTCCTTCATATAGCCCTTTCTCACTACTCCAGCTTATACTGATTTCTACCTTTTTAAAACTCCAATAACAATTAAGAGCCTGACCCATACAATGTAGCACTTTATGTGATACACACTTGTACATGCATAGCACTTTACACTTCTCAAAGTGACTTCAAGTCTGGTAATGAGAACAAAACAATAACACTGTATGATAGGCATAACATATTTCAATTCTAATTTGAAAATGAGCAAACTGAGGTTAGAGTGAGGTTAAGTGACGTGCCCATAGTCACACAAATTGGCCCCATGTGGACTATAACCTAGTTCTGATTTCTAGTTCAGTGAACTTGTTTCTCCAGAGTTATAACTGTTCTGGAAACTGTTTTATGTCTCTTAGTCTTTTCTCTTCAATAAGATGACAGGCTATGAAAGACAGGAAAGGTGACTTCTACTTCTCTGGGATCTCCTACAGGACTAGGCACATAGCAATATGCTGCCTAGAAAACAAGTCCTGATGAACTAAGTTAGGGTGATAAAATACATTGCCAAAACAAAATACTATGACAAATGATAATAACACAATTACTAGTAATATATTAATAGTATCTCTTAATACTCAACAATACTTCAAAAATATATTACCATTTAAATCATAGCCAAAGATCTACATCCATGGTGAAGAATGAACAATTTGAAAACTGAAGAAACATAATAATACCTTATATTTGTGTAGGATTTTAAGATTTTTCTTTTTAAAAAGTTTTCAATTATTTTATTGCCTCTGATCATCACAGTATTCCTATGAAGTAGGTGAGGAAGACGTTATTCTTATTTGACAGATGAGGAAACGATAAGTTTAGTACGTTATCTAAGGTCACACAGAAAATGACAGAACTGGGATTAGAATCTATGTTTCTTGACTTAGTTGAATGGTGTTTCTATTCTTAAAGCTAACTGTTTAAATAAAAAAGCTTTCTACTTTGATCAGAGAGGTCTTGCCCCTTGAAGAGACATGTGCTGAGGCTGATTCCGTAGTATATGTCAGACTTTTGACATTTATTACAATATTATTCATTAGAATCTCTCATGCAAAGCAGAAAGACAACATTATTACCCAGTGAATAAACTGCTCTCCAAGCAGTTAGGAAGACTGGGTTCAAGCTATGCTCTCAATACACACTAGCTGCACTGACTCTGGGCAAGCCACTTAACCCTGTCAGGGACCCAGGCAACTCTCTAAGATTGTAAATTGCACACAAATTGCCAACCTACATTGGTGCAATGAGTTCCCACACCAGGAGTTCTCTACACTAATGAAATCACAGGTCCACACCTACCCCCTCCCCAAATCAAAGCAAATACTCATTAAAAACTAAGTCTTAAGAACAAAAAGCCAAGAAAACAAAAAAACCTATAAATTTTAATTTTCTTCACTATGTGGCTTGTCCTTGAGTAATCTATTTGGGGGTGGGGGGAGTGGTGAAACAAATTATGCAAATGTAAATATTTTAAAATCAAAAAGAAGAAAATGGAATGATATATTGCAATTAGGGAGAGGAAAAAATTCTTATCTACTGAAGAGAACAAATTATGAGATAAATGGATAGACTTGATTGTATAAAAATGTACAACAAAACTAATACGTTCAAAATAAACAGAATGAAGAAAAATTATTTGCAGAAAATATATCTGACAAAAATTTGCCATCTAAAATCTTTAGGACGTAGATAAAAATTTTATACAAGTAGAGTCCATTCCTTAATGGATAAATGGTCAAAGATATTAATAGACAGTTGTTGATAGAAGAATATACAAACTCAATTCAATGAAATTGTCAATGACCTCTTAAAAATTGTTAAGCTTAGTAAAATATAAATTAAAATTCTGAGCTACAACCTAGTAACTACTAAATTGGCAAAAATTACTTAAAATGATAAACTTCAAGATTGGCAAAGATGTGGAGAAACAAGAACATTGTTACACTGCTGATGGAGTTATGAATAGTGGAATATTTTTCTAAAACAATATGGAAATATTCAAAAGAATTACAAAAATGAGCACATCCTTTGGCCCACTGATTTCACTACTACTAGGAGTTTATCTTAAAGAAAAAAGAGGGGACAATTCTCTCAGTTCAAAAAAAAGTAACTATTTACTGTAATAAAAATTGGAAATAGCCCACATATCCAATGACTGAGGAACAGATGAATAAATTATAGAATATAAATTTAATGGGATATTATTGCACCATAAAAATGAACAAGAAGAATAAAAAGAAATATGGAAAGACTAATAAGAAATTATGCAAAGTGAAGAATGAAGAATCAGAACAATACATAAACTAATTACAACTACGTACAAATAAGAATAGCAGCAACAAAATAATAAAAAACAGAAACAAAAGTAATCGGAAGAGGATATGGAAGCAAGCTGGAAATTTTTGATATTATTTCCTTGAAGCTAATCTACAGTTTTCAAAAGCAAAATATAAAAAAAATTTTATGAAAAAACAGGAAATTTGTGTTTTGACTATCATTTAAATTTTTTTGTTTATTTGAATGTTTTTGTTGATTATTGTTTAGAATGTTATAATTACAAAAAGGGAAATATTACTTTCATCTTCTTTCACTTGTATTAAAATTTCTCCAGAGAATATCTGATGTAGTGAATAATATTCTGAAGGTTCTTAATGTGTAATAATTTTATGTTTATTAAGTACTTCCATAATGCTCTCAGTTTTAAAAACAAAAGGTATATTTTCCTTCTATAAACATTTTAAAATATTCAAAACAAAAACAGTTCTTTCTCAAAATGGGATAAAAATGATCAGAATCTAGAAATGTAAGTTTTTTAAAAACTGATTTCTAAAGGGAAAGTAAAATAAATATAAAAAGTGAATTTGTTACTTTAATAAAATTTGTCACTTAAATGATCATTTTAATGAAATTTGTATTGTAGCAATTTTGGCAGTTCCTTGCCAGGTTGAATGCCTCGTCTTATCAGAGCTGTTACTGAATGCATGAAAAGGTGATAATGAACATTATTACACAATGGCACCACCCAGCTTTCCTTCATATAAAAGGACATTCCCACTTCAAAATATAAAAACAAACTGGATTTTTAAAATACTTCCCAACAATGTAGTCTACTAGATGCGCATTACCATTGTGCACATAGGTGAGCCTCCTTTCTTCCCTAGTTACAATGTTCGCTATCCAGATGTCATTGCTATGGATGAAAGCAATCCAGTTTGGATCAGCAGGGCACAGTTTTGGATCCATCCTTATGTTAGGGCAACTGGTCTCCACTAAATTGGGTCTTAAGGGTTGTTGCTAGAAAAGCAAACATAAAATATTCTTAAATCTTTGTGGGCAAGAGGCAGGCCAATATATAGACATTTCATTTGGTTCTACCCTAACTATAAGATGAAGGCTACCTCTATCTAAAATGTTCAGTGGGATAACTCAGATAAATAGACTCCTATTGTATTCTCCTATTTTAATTCCTGAACTTGCAAGGAAAAAAAATTGGTTGTTGAGCTAGAGAGCTAGAGGTATTGACAGAACCCTTAGTTTTCATTTCACCAAACAGGAAAGACTTCTTAGACCAATACTATACTATAAATTCTGTTACTGCAGAGTAAAATGATACATGAAGTAAACTGTAAAGCTACATATGAAGTATACTTGACTAGTCATTAATTAGTTTTTATTCAACATTACAAAGTAAATTCAACCAAAAAAGTTTGTTCATTAATACATGACTAAAATAGAATTCCTGCAAATTCATTAAAATAGATTAACCGTATAATTACATAAAAAGAATCAACCCTATCACTAAATAAAATGATTACACAGATATAACTTGATAAGAATAATAAAGACTTCAAGAAGTTTGAAAGATAAGTACTTCTAATTTTGGCTAAACCAGGATCTTTTAAAATCACTTGAGATTTATCTATTAAACATATGAAACAGACCTCATTCAGAACCCCAAAATTTGCTCCTCTACACAACCTCTAAAACTCAACTCAACAAACCTTTTCTTAAGCACATGCAGAATGCTATTCTAAGTATAAGAAACCGAAGGAAAAGAGAAGCTACATAAGTTTAGATAAGCCTCTGCCCTTATGAAGCTAACAGTTTAAAAATGAGATACAAAATTTACAGATATAACTATAGTAGAAAATAATACATGATAAGTATATCAGAGAGGTTAAGAAAATAAAACAAGTACTATGTGAATCAAGTGTTATTACCAAAGGGAAAATCAGGGAAGGCTTCTTGGAGGGTGGTGGCATTTGAAGTAGGCTTTAAGGAGCGGACAAAAATTCAACAGTTGAAGGTGAGATCAGCTTAAAGAATAGTGTGAGTAAAGAACTGGAGGTGGAAAACAAGGAAGTATCTTCAGAAGACCAAGACTACTTCAGTTTGGTTAGAGGATAATATAATAATATGAAATAAAGCTGGAAAGCAAGAGTGTAACCAAATTGTGAAATGCCTTAAATGTCAGGCAAAACAACTTGAACTTTCCTCACACATAATGAAGAGCCATTTAAAATTTCTGAGCAGAGGATGGGCATGACCACATATAAACAAAAGTAAATAATACATCTAGAAGCATTATGAAGGAATGACTGCAGGGCAGAAATGATGAAGGTAGAAAAACCTATTAGAAAACTGAATGAATTCTGGAGTCACACAGAAAAGTAGTGAAGTCAGATGAAAGATTACATTTTAGAAAAAAGAAAAAACTCAATTTTGGATATGCTGAATTTGAAGTGCTACTGGGATAGTCAGAGGAGTCCCATATGCAGTTGCAAATTTAGGTCTGGAGCTCAGAGCTAAAAATATAAATATATGTATCATCTGGATAGTGATGGTAGTTAAAGTTATGGGAGTAAATGACACAGGCAAAAATGTACATAGAGAGAAGTGAAAGTCTACAGAAAGAACCTTGGGGAAAGAACATCTATCTACATTAAGCGATGGGGAAGACAAGCCAGTGAAGGAATTCAGAGAGAATTCAGGAGAATCAAGAGAATGTGGCATCTCTGAAGTTAAGGGAGGACAAAGCATCAAGATGTAGTCTCAAATGCCACAGAGTTGCCAAGGAAGAAGAATGAATAAAAGATCTCTCTATCTTTTACATGATAAATTCCACTACTAGTCTGAAATTGTGGTAGATTTGGGGGCAGTTCAAGTACAGTGGGAAGGGAAGTAGCCAGATTATAATGGGCTGAAGAGAGAATAGGTGTTAAGAATGTAGAGATATCAAAGAGATTATTTTTTTCAACTTATTTTTTCAAAAATCTGGCAATACTGGGAAAGAGAGAAATGGGATCATAACTGTAATGTAATAACAGCTGGCACTTACATAGTGCTTTAAGGTTTGCAAAACACTGCAAATATCTCATTTTATCCTCAAAACAGTCCTGGGAATTTAGGTGCTATTATTATCTCCATTTTATAGCTGAGGAAACTGAGGAAGAGAGATGTTAAGTGACTTGTCCAAAGTCATAGCACTAGTAAGTGTCTGAAGCCAGATGTGAACTGGGATCTTCCTGACTGTAAGTCCAGTAATCTATCAACTGTGCCATTTAGATAGTTTAAAAAAATAAGGAAAAGTTTTTTATCTTTTTGTTTTTTGACTGGACAGATTTGAGCACAATTGTAGATATTTAGGAAGGAATCATTGGAAGGGCAATGGTTGCTGGAGTAAGGTCCTAAAAAGAAGTAGAAGGAGATGGGATTAAAAGGATAATTTATGTGATCAGAAGGAAGGATACATTAGGTAATGAAGATGATGCTGTTGATAAGTTTTGGGTAAGGAAGAAGAGTTGAAGGCACTCCCTCTGGATGGCCTCAGTTTTCTCAGTGAAGAAGCTAAGTCATCCACACTAACTGGGGGGAGGAAGGAGTTACAACTAGGAAGAGAAAGGAAAAGCCAGGAACAATAATATAGGGAACTGATGAGCAGAGTAGATTACTGAGTATCAGTGAAGGCCTAGATAAGGTTATATGACAAAAATTTGTAGTAGAGGAAAAAAGAGGATTTAGTATGTATAATAAAGAATGACATGTAAAGGGATAAGAGATTCTGAAAAGACAGTAGAATTTTAAGATAATAACTTATGTATGTTTAGCATTTTAAAGTTTGCAAAGTATTTGATTTCCTCAAAACAGCCTGGTGGCGCATTTCCATGAAACTGTAAAGTCTGAGGTATGCCCATGTTTTACAATTTTAGATTTATTTTTAAAAATTAAATATTTTCCCAGTTACATGTAAAAATAATTTTTAACATTCTTCTTTTAAATTCTGAGTTCCAAATTCTCTCCTGTCCTCCTTCCTCCTTGAGAAGGCAAGAAATTTGATATAAATTTTACATGTGTAGTCTTGCTAAACATATTTCCATATTAGTCATGTTGTGAAAGAAAACACAGACCAAAAAAAAAACCAACCTAAGAAAAATAATTAAAGTCAAAAAAATTATTCTTTGCTCTGCATTCAGACTCTATCAGTTTTTTCTCTAGAGGTGGTTAGCATTTTTTATTAGATTTATCTTTTGATCTTCCCTTTTCTCTTTATTTCAAACCAGCAGCCAAGCTCTGTAATTCTATCCCTGCAATCTCCTTCATATTCATCCCTTTTTTCCCATGCCTGGATTACTGCAACAGAATACTAAATGGTCTCCACATCTCAAATCTCTTTCCCCCTCTAATCCATCCCACATATTATTACCACACCAATCTTTCTGGTATACAGGTCTGATTATGGCACCTCAACTTTCAAAAACCTCCAAGTTCCCCAGGGACTGAATGATGTTTGGTAGGTCATCAATAAGCATTTGTTAAGTGCCTACTATGTGCCAATCACTGTGCTGAGGATACAGAGACACAGGCAATTAGCAGATAGGTCTGAAGCTTGGAAGAAAGGTCAGCATTGGAGATATAAATTTTGGAATGATTTGTTTATAGATAATAGTTGAAACTATGGGAGCAAGGAAAATTGCTAGGGGAGATTAGGTAGAAAGAGAAGAAGGGTGCCAAGAAAAGGTAAGATTTTTTTCTATTGATGTTTAAATAATTATTTAGATTTCAAAATGCTTCCTTTTTATTTAACAATACATGTATTTTTCACAGTACAGAATTTTCATTTTTAAAGATCGATGTTATACATCTAAAAGATAGATACTATGGTGAAAGAAAGTATACATTTAAACCATTTAGTTATGAAAAATATGTAAAATTAAAATTTTAGCCAAATCAACATAGTAACACGCACAAATGTTACCTCCTTTCTTCATTTCCTCAGTTGTTAATGTTCTTCCCTTTTCAAATTAACTTGTATTTACTTATCCAAGTACATGTTGTATTTCTCCAGCAAAAGGTAAGAAATGTTTTACTTACTTTGTATTCCCAGCAATTAACATGGCACCCTGCCTGTTCTAGATGCTTAACAAATGGAACTGATTTCAAAGCTTTCTAACTACTGTTACATGCACTCATATTCTAGTTTGTATTCTATTTTCCTATATACATCTCTTATCTCTTCCAGTAGGTTGTATCTCTTTTATGTTTTATTTGTTTTTGTATTTCCCTGAATACCTCAAATAGACATATTGTACATGAGAGATAACAAATTTTTTTTTTCAACAGAATAACTATATTTTTTGCAGGAAAGATTTCTTATGTTAATTCATAAACTTGAAAAACAAAATACCAATATTCTTCCTCTTGTTTATTTTAATTGATTTGAAATCAATGAAGCACTTAAGTACTTCACTGAAGTACTTAAGAATCTGAATTTCTTGTTGGCAAGGCAGAAGAGGGTTTTTAAAAAATTAAATTTCATTACATTTCAGAAAAATAATAAAAAAGGAATAAGGAAATTACTTTCTTAATTCTCTCAGAGCTAAAAACAACAACCACAAAACCCAAAGCTTTAATAATGAGCATATTTAAACTTACAGTAAATCCATGTGGGCCTCCATCTTTTACATGGTAAATTCCGCTACCAGCTTGGAACAAAAATGTTCCACTTTCCTGGTGATAATCATAAGAAGCAATTCCAATTGTTCCAATGCGTTTTCTTTCTCTTAATAACTCTTCTTCTCGAGAATACATTCCATAGTCCAGGGTTGCCTAATGAAAAAAAAAATAGGAGTACTACCTACTTTTAAATTTTCTTCTTGATGCTTATAACAATGTGGATTTCAAAAATAAAGATGTGTTAGCACCTCCAAATTTCTTACTTGTGAGGAACAAATCTGAGTGCCCCTACACACACAGATTCCTACCTTAGAATTATCTTTTACCAAGATCTCTCTTAAATGGATATGTAGTAAAGGATACTTCCTCATTTGGCAGTTACATCTGTGTAATAGAGCAAAGATAAAGTCCAAATTCCTTAGCCTGGCATTCATTCTCTTCCACAATTTAGTCCCAACCTACTAATCCAAACCTTATTATCTCATCTTCCCTTAAAAGAAATATTCTGCTCCACCCACATTAATCTTACTATCCTTGCATATAACCTATTCCTTTCTACCTCTAGGTTTTTGCCTTCACCAGTGTTCCCACCAGAAATGCTCTCCTTCTTCTCTAGCCAAGTCCTACCCATCACTTAAGGCTTAGTTCAAGTCTGTCCTTTTCCATGAAAATTTCTGTGATCCCTCTAGCTCAAAGTGTCACCTTTCTTACATGAACTAACTCCTGTAGTGTTTGTCTATATAATTTAGCACTAACCATACTACTATGCAGTTTTTCACACACACACACATATATATATATATATATATATATACATACATATTTTATCTTCTCTATTCCAATGTAAGCTCCTTGTAGTAAAGATTAAATTTTATTTTTGTATCTGCCCCAGAGTTTAATGCAATATCTTGTACAAACTAGTCACTCAATAAATGTGCTAATAATGATGAAGATATACAAGGTTTTTATCTATACTCAGAAATATTTTGGCACATATGCTACTTACAGGTACGTATATAAAACAGGGTAAAAAAAATTCATCAAGGTATTAATGCTAATTTTAAAATATGCACATTTTCCCAGTAAATTATTTATTGAATATCCACCATATGCTGGATACATGGGCTTAATATTTAAAAAAAACAAAAACTCCAAACTGATATTATGCTAAGGAAGAGGCTAACAAAGTTCATATAAAGAGGGTCTTTTACACCTTTACTCTTAAATCTTATCTTTTGCTGTCTCACCAACTTCGTTGTAATCAGTGGACTGACTGGCAAGCATGTGATCATTTGTGTGAACTGCAAACCTCATGAATTTTCTTGATATTGAATTGTTAACTCCTTGAATCCAGAACTGTATCTTTTATCTGCTTTATATTTCTAGAGCTTGGCAAATAGCTTATACGTAAGTAGGCACTTTATAAATCTTTGCTGAACAGTTAATATTTACATATCTAAATTTATAACCGAAAGTTTTTTTAAAGCTAATAATAATTACCTATACAATAAAATTATACCTAGAATTCTGACTTAATTTGTTAATTACTATATGCGACAATGATCCAAGTTCTTCTATTTATTTTTCAAAAACATGTACTCATTTATGTGAAAGAATAAGCCCCACTGCCAAGAAAAAAATGGTTAAACATCATATAAAAATAAACCAAGTCTATTATCTTCAAAAAAATAAATTTAGCAGTTGTTTATTCAGCGCCTATTACATGTAGGAGAGGCACTGTGCTGGGCACTAGGGATACAAAGATGAAAAAAAAATCTTTTGTCCTTAAGGATCTTACATGTTACTTCGAAGAAAATCACATGTATCAAGTCAATTACACATATGCACAAAGCAAAATATGGTGGGGGCAAAGGAGAGGTCCACACTGTGTTCCAGGAAAACGTTAGGGGGAAAGAACACTTTCAGAGATAGGAAATTTAAACATACGATCAATAATCATTTACTGACATTCGCTGTCAGCTACAGTGAAAGCAAAAAATTATGTTTAATAATGGAAGAATATAAGCAGAGAGCCTAATTAATAAATTTTAAATGAGTTTTTCAAAACATCACTATATTTTAGCTAATTCTCAATACCAGGTACTGACATATAATGACAGGTAGGCTCTTTCCTTGTTTGTGTTACTTTTTGCTTTCCCTTCTATTCATACAACAACTTACTTTAGGAGAAGAAAAGAAATGAGAACTTTAAAGAGATGGTTGCATGCTTAAAAACAGGCACACACAGGCACACAGAGAATATCCTTCAGACATCCTCAAGTATGTGTGTATATGTATAAAAATAATTGGGGGACCTGTGATTTTATTAGTATGGGACACTCCCAATAAGGAAATTCCCTCCACTAACACAGATCACCAACTTCTCCTGCAATTATATTACTGGGAAGTTGCTGGGAACACTGAAATATTAAATGACTCTTCCGGAGCCTCACAGCTAGTATGTGTCAGAGTCAGGACTTTAACCCATGACTCTGAAGCAGCTATTAGCTCTTTATTTATTACAACATACTGTCACTTTGTCCCTGCTCCCTCCAAGACAAACAATGCTTTCAATTTTGCAGAAATTTAAAGGCACACAATACTAGTTAGAAGCAAAAATGGCACTAACATTACTAAGAATACCAACTTTTGGGGAAGAAATACAGTGTAATTAAGGTGTAAAACAACAGCATGTCTACAAAGGAAGACCTTTAAAAACTTTGAGGTAATCTACAAAGATTACTGAGCACTATATGACTGAAAATTTTTAGGAAAAAAATGAGGCACTAAGAAGAAAAGCCACTTCATAGTATAAAATGCTTATTAATTAAAAGGCTTTTTCTATAATTACATTTGACAGGAATGAAAAGACCAGCCACACGAAACTATGAAAATTTTAAAACCCTTATAATATGCTGCAAACAAAGGAATTTTATAATTTCAATATTTAAATCAGGGGTTCTTAACTTTTTTGTCTATACCTTTGATAATCTGGTGAAGCCGATGGAACCCTCAGAATAGTGCTTTTAAATGATGAATAAATTTTCAAATAAAATATGTAACATTACAAAGGAAACCAATTATGTTAATATACAGTTATTAAAATATTAAAACCCAACAAAACCAAGTTCATGGAAACTAAGTTAAGAACCCTTGATCCAAAACAATTTATTTACTGTATGTGAAGAGATATAAACATCACATATCAAAGACACTTTAAAATTCCTACCTGAAAAAGATCTAAGAGTGGCTTCCAAGACAGCATTAAAACTGCTGCTTTGTTGATGGTTTTGGGAATTTCTGAGTAAAACAGTGTGTTTTCTCTGTTCTCACCAGACATGGCTATAAGAAAAAAAAGGAATTTCTCATTAAACAGTCTTCTTCCTGCAAACAGAGAAACTATAAAAAAGACAACAATAAAGTTTATTTATACAAGGAAACAATCACTAAAAATGGCAGCTGTCTATAAGACATATACAATCTCTTGCTAGCACTTTTTATGGGAGTGCCTAACAACTGTCAACAAAAGAAGATGGCACATAGAAGTGCTTAATAAATGCTTATTTCCTTCCTTTCAATTTGGTGGAAGTGAGTTGGTACTTCAAAGTTGTTTTAACTTGAAACTATTTGATAATTAGTAAGATTAAGTATTTTTTCAAGCGATAATTAGCAATCTGAGTTCCCTCTTTTTTAAAGTCTTTACCACATAATTATTTTTGTTTTGGGAGCTGAATGTCTTTGGATATTTTTAGCAGTTCCCTAGAAAACTTAGATGTCAAGTTTTAATCAGTTACATTCATCATAAATGTTTTCACCAATCTATTATTTTTCTATTATATTGTTTCTTGTAAAACAACTTAAGAAAACTTCAGAACTATGACCAATGATTCAAAAGACATAAATGATGAAGCATCACATTTCCCATCTCTCGGCAGAGAGGTGATGGACTGTAGGTGTAGAATGAGACATATTTCCAGACATGACCAATGTGTGAATCTGGTTGGCTCGATTATTCTAATTTATTACAACAGAGGGCATTTATTGTGGGAGATAAGGGAAGGGGGTAGTTATTGAAGGGAATCAGGGAGAAGTGAGAAATGAAAAAAAAAAAAGAGAGAGAATAAAGAAAACAGTGTTAATGAAACCCTTAAAGTATATATATATTAATAAGCAGAAGGAAATTCTGTAGGCATTAGAGAAAAATATGGCAACAGACTACTTTGTTAAATTTAACATACATTTTAAAAACAAGCTATATATATATAATTAAGAATTATAGTTTCACATACAAACTTTTAAAAATTCTCTTTGTATATGGAAATGTTCTTGTTTGATATTTGTTGAATTCACAATAAACAAAGTTGGGGAAAAAATTTGTTTAAATCTATTCCCTAACAGTTTTACCAATATATGGACTAAATAGTGATTATCTCAATTTGTATTTCCCTGGGCTTATCAAATACTAATCTTTCATATATATTTGGTTCAATGTCTGGGATCTCTACTGTGTTCCAGTGATATATGTGTCTCTCTCTCTCTCTGCACAGCATCAGATATTTTTATGAGAATCACTTTGTAATATGCTTTAAAGTCTGGTAGTTCAAGGCTCCTTGATATTCTTGCCTATTTTGGAAAACTTTTAATCCTTCATTATTTTGCCAAATGAGGACACTTTTTTGAATCACTTCATGTATATATGTATGTATGTATGTGTGTGTGTGTGTATATACATATGCATATATATACACACACATATCTTACTTAGTCTTTCATAATTTAATTATAAACCTGCTCAAAATTCAATTTTCCATGATGCCTTTTGACCCAATCCATCAAAGGTTCAGAAAATCTGTTTGCCTGAACTCTTCTTTCTTAGTGAGCAAAGACTACAGAGAGGGGACAATTCTGACCATGGAGCTAGGCTCTAATTTCAAGAATAATTAATTAGGTTGCAGTATGGTATAGTGGAACGAGTACTGGAATAGGTCAAAGGACCTGGCTCTGTCCCATACTACTTGTGGGGCCAAAAATGACTAATTTTTTCTACCGTGATTTCAATGTGTTGGGAACACAAATAGAAGAATTTCCTCTCCTTTACCAATACAGACTGGTAACTATTCTGCAACTTACAGTCTACAGAAAGTTGTCTGGGGAACTGACAGGTTAAAAGACTCATTCAGAGTTAAATGGCCATGTATGTTAGAGACAGGCCCTGATCCTAGTTTTTCTTGACTCCTGGGCTGGCTTTCTAATAAGAGGTTTAAAAGCAAAATTATGTATACAAAGACAAAACCTGAGTATGTTTCAAATGTTTCTTTTTCGTTGTTGTTCAAATGAAGGGGGCTTATGTAAATATGATATGATATTAAATCTCTTAGTAAGATATATCAAGATTAAAATGCCACCAAATTTTCTTTAATGAAGGGATTGCTTTTAATGATCTATGTTTCTCTGTATAACTATTCCCTTGGAGAAACAGTTGAAAATTGAATGTTTACACAGGGTGGATCTTAAATTTAATGTCTTCTTCTTGTGAATTTAGGGAGATGAAACCAAGAAGAGAGTCAGGCTAGGAAAAGGTAAATTAGTAACTAATGGTAAGGAGTGAGAACAATCTAACAATTCATCTCCAGGGAAATGAATACTTGCTTAGCATTGGGAAGGAGTAGTTTCTGGTCATTTCATTTATTTTAAAACTACATGAAAGTTTTCATATGAAATGATCATCCTTGTCTATTTGTAATTTTAAAGTTTCAAATTCAAAGCAAATTTGGGCCATGAGAAAAGGGGGAGGGGAGGAAACCCACTAAAGTTACAATTCGTCTCATCTAAAAAAGTTTTTTTTTCATTTTCGAGAGAACCATGAAGTACAAATATGGTTTAAAGTTCTCTACAGCTGAATTAGAAAACCTGTAACTGAACTCACCAAGGTAATAGACCCTGTCCGAATGAGGCCCATCTGGATCATTCTTCTTTACAAACATAAAGTCATGTGGTGCCTTAGCCATCATGTAGCCATGATATTTCCTGGTATCTGCAAGCAGTTTCTTAAGCTGACTCCAGGAATATCTCTCAACATAAAATGGCTCCAATTTAGGCTGTTCTTGTGAATCAACATTCTCCTCACACTCTGCAGTTTCAAAGATTTCAACACCCAGCTGTTCAGTTTCCATTGCTGCTGCCATGTTGCATTTTCCTGGAAAAGAAAGCCACAAGTAGTAGTTTATGAGGCTTCCCTTCTGTTGTATTGGTCAAAATGAGAATCTAACAGGAATGAAAAGGAATCAGTCAAAAAAAAAGATGCTACTTTCACCATAGTTGAAATGAATAATAAGATGAATAGCTTCTCTTCCTCTTTGTTCACTTTAAAGGATAGATTTAATATTTATTTTAAAAATCAAAGTAAGGTCTGTTCTACACATTCATTTGAGAAAGTTGGGAACTTTCTATAAGGGTTTCCCTGACATGCACTGCTAAAATTCTAACTCCTCTCTCACACCAGAAGAAAGTGGGCCACATGCCTATTGGCTGCTAGTCTTCATCCCAGAGCTGGCTTCAAATCAGTGGTGAAGCTGAATGTGCAAAGGCTGTTAAGTGCTTTGGCATTAAAGGGGAAGAGGAGGAATACATTTGGCAAATTTAACGACTAGAATTAAGCCAAATCACCACCACCAACTGAGACAGAAGAAAATGCTGTTACTTATATGGAGCTTTTATCCCAGGTTCTCAAGCACTTTGCTAACATCAATTTAATACTGGTAATTTGCCACAAAACATATACATTAGAAAAGATTATTTTTTTTTTTCACATTTTCAGAAGAAACCCTGGTGACAAAAAGTTTAACTGGCTAGTTCACAATTTACCTGTAGAATTCTGTTCTCATTTAGCATTTATGCTAGAGTAAAAGAAAGAAGGAAATGAAGCAACTGGAATTTTTTAATGTGTTTTATGGGAACTTCTCTAAGGCCAACATCAACTGCATAAGTTATACTCATCATCAAATTAAAAGGAAACACACTTCCTTCAAACAATATCACACAGATGCAAAACAATATTTTATGACAAAAAAATTCATTATATAAATCTGAAGGGCATTTTTTTCTATTTGAAAATGAACTTCACACCACAGCACCCTAACTTATTTATAGTAAACTGCAAAGTTCTCTACTTCTTTCACAAATCCATAACTAAAGTTACCAATTCTAATACTTAATCCTAAATTAAATTTGCAGAGTAATACCAATAGAAAAAAGAATTAACATCATAAACAATTAGCACTCACTGATAATATATAGTGGCCATAAATGTATATTGTTTTTACAAAAAAAAAAAAAGAAAAAAAGAAAAGAAACTACATAAACAGCAACTCAACATACAAAGCTAATTTAGCACTATCACTTAGTTGCAGGTATTTGGGTTTGGGGGTTTTTGATCTATAAATGTAAACATAGTTATAATCTACCCCTGGAGTGTAACTGACAAATGTATTACAGAAGTGGCTTATCCATCTAACAGAGGTGGCCTACTTTCTGTGAATTGTGGTAGTAACTTCAGTTCAGTTCTAAATGGAATAGGATACAAGTAAAGAAGAATTCACCCCTCAAACTCTTTCTTCTTGGCTTGAGCTAAAGCCAAAGATCAAAGCTAACAATATGGATGTTCATTCTCAAAGCAATGATATGAAATATGGGAATAAGGCATAATGTCATGGCAAAGTAAATGTAATTGCACTGTCCCAGCTCTATAATAATATGTATGGGTACCAGACTGGTGATTCCAAGGGTAGAGAACTCAGATGAATAAACTCCTTCTATTACAGATCAGCTCCTTCCCTGCAACCTAAAGAATTGCTTAGAGCACTGAGAGTGCTTGTCCAGGGTCACACAGCCAGATTTGTCAGAGGTGAAACTGGAATCTAAGCATATCTGGTTTCCCAGCCAGTTCTTTATCCATGCTGCCTCTCTTTGCAGAGTAATAACTCACATTTATATGGTGCCTTAAGATTTACAAAGCCCTTTCCTCATACCTCTGTGAGGCAAGTATTATATTTCACAGAGGAGAAAACTGAGGCTCTGAGGCTAATTGACTTGTTCACAGCCTCACAGCTAGTAAATTCTCTGTGGCAGAAGAGCATCATCCATACAGCCCATGGCTATCTTACCATTTCTGATGTCATCAGCTTTTCTCCAATTTTCCAGCTTCTTATTAACATTTCTTCTGCCCAAATGAAATTGTCAAGCTCTGTTATCTTATTCTTAAAATAAATTCTCTAACATACTTTCATTACTTCCTAGACTGCTTTAGGTCAGCAACATTTTTAAAAACGTAAAAGCCAATACTACAGCTCATACAGCTAATCACACTGCCCACCTACTGTACCACTTAAGGACATTTCCAGGTACCTAATTTTATCTCTTCATATCTTCACATTCAAAAGGCTCTCTTTGAAGAGCTGTTACTGTAAACACATATTCCTCCTGATCCTACTGCTCACTTCTCACCAGGATATTTCCTTCTTTCACCTATCAGCCCTGGTCACTGAATAAGTAAATAACGTACATGTGGTCAAGACAAAGTTTCTCTTATAGTCCAGCAGTATGAAGGTTCTTTATGTAAAACACTCTTCTTTTCTCCTGGTGTTATTCCTAGAATTTTTATCCACCAGGATGCAGCAAGCTGCAGTTGTTCCTTTTCTTATTAAATAAAATGTCTATTTCACAATGTAGTTTAAATGGTATTCTATTTATAGGAAAGTAATGTAAATGCCTTACATTTGTATATCACAATTTCAAAGTACTTTTATTGATGTTCATTAAAACTTCTAGAAAAATGTACAAATGTAAGACAGCATCATTATTCTGTGATATATTACTAATCCTCTAATGAAAAAGATGGCTATAAGACGTTATTTCTCTGTGCTTCCATTTCCCTGTCTTTTGGGTAATGATATCAGCTGTTACTTAGAAACGGATAAGGTTCATCAGGCTAATCAATAATAAAGCCCCCTTTGGGGGGGCTACGACTGCAGAAAGGAACGCCAGAAAACAGCAGTATTGTTAGACATGGAAAATGTGATATGTTTTAGGAGTTAAGATCAATAGAGGGAGGGGAATGTGCTACCAGTTTAAGGACTCCTCTGCTTCTAGTTATTTGTTGGAAAAGTCATTTGTTAGGATTGGTGTTGAAACTCTGGAGTTCGTGAGAGACGGGAAAGTAATAACTATTACTCTAAATTTGTCCATGCATTTAACACCAGGATATCTGCAGACTAGCAAGAAAGTTACAACGGAGGTAGGAAGAGATGCAGGGGTTAATAAGTGACCCTGGGGCTGGCAAAGATCTTAAAAATACCATAACAGCCCCACACAAAGACGTCAGATCGGTCTATAGGGGAAAAAAGTCATTGTTGTCTAGTTTCTTCAGTTTTTAGGAATGGGCCACCAAATTGACATCTCTAAAGGGGCTACCAACAGCAAACCTCATCTCGGACTCACTTGGGGATGCACGCCAGAGTCCCCACGGGAGAAGGTGGAAGGGAACGAGGAGAAGGCGCAGGTCGGGAGGTGCAGGGAGCTACGGCCTAGGAAGCCAGGGAGGGGGAGAGATTGAGGGGTGTCTCCCAGCACCAGCCCCTAGAGCCCTCGGTGGAGCAGCCGGGGCGGGCGATTGGAGCGCTCTCATTGGGCGGGAGGTGGGACAGGAAGGGCCGAGCCGGGGAAGAGGAGTGACCCAAGAGGAGTGGGGGGAGGGGACTGGACGTTAATGGGGGAGTGACTGTTAGCGCTCCGGAGTGAGAGGTTATCGAGGGGTGGAGGGCCGGTGTGGGGAAAGGTGGGCAGGGGAAGGGAGCGTGGAGGGGCAGGCCCGAGGACAGGGAAGGAGGCTCGGGAGGAGGCGTTGAGGGTCGTGGGCCCCCAGCCGCTGCGCCCCGTCCCGAGCCCGCGGGAGTTGGAGGGTGGGGGCGGATACTGCACCTTCCCCTCAGCCCCGCCCGGCCGGCCGGTCCCGACGCGCCCTACAGAGTGGGCCGCCGCCGCTTCATGCCGCGCCCCGCCCTCCCTAGACTTCAGTCCCGGCTGCGGCGACTGTCCCACCGCCGAGCGGCTCCTCAGCTGCCGGAGGGCGGGCGGGGAACACTGGCGAACGCGGCTCCCGGCGGTGGCGGTTCCCGCACTTCCGGTTCCTCGCGGACCCGCCCGCCGCCGGCCTCGCCGCAGACACTGCCGCCGCTGCCGGGCCAAGAAGGGCACCCGGCGCCCTGGCCCCGCGCGGCCCAGAGTGACAGCGCCCCCGGGCGGCGGGAGGAGGGAACCCCTGTACGCTGCGCAGCAGCTGGTAGGGGGTAGGGAGACCCCGAAGTGAAGAGGATACATCCCAGGACAGGGCAGAATCTGGGGAGAAATCAAGCAATCAACAAACATTATTTTTTCTTTCTTTCTTTCTTTTTTTTTTTTAAAGGAAATAGCCCGAGCACTTACAAAGCGCTTACAACTATGGGAATAAAACCACAAAAATAAAACAGCCCACAAGGAACTCCTACTCTACCAGAAAGCAGGGTTGGGGGAAGAGCCCAGAATGAAAGTGAGGGTGAGGCAGAACCTGAAGGAAAAGTGGAAATTGGGGAAGGAAACATCAAAGTAAGGAGGAAGAGAAAATAAATACTTGTTTTTTGAAAAATAAAATGAAATAGCGGGAGATAGTCACCTATCTAGTTCCAATCAAAAACCAAAAAGAAACAAAAACCAACCTATGGTGCCTGAGCTGGAACAGCTCAGGACATGGGGCAGAATTTATAATAACATTAATTACAGGCCCTCTTAGGGTTCCCATGTTTCCCTCCCTTGGTATGTAATTATTCACTTTGAGATCTTTATGGATATGTTTATAGACATGCTAATAAAATGATTTGTAAATCTTAAAGTCATATGTAAATATAAGCTATTGTCATATGTATAATGTGCATATTAGTGATAATGATTTGTATAGTGGTTTATTATCCCCATTTGACAGATAGGAAACTTGAGGGCCAGAAATATTAAATGATTTTCTTATGGTCACACAGCTAAATAGTGGAAGAGCCAGGAGCCAGGACTTGATCCCATGAGTCCTACTACAGTTCTCTTTTCACTGTTTCAGTCTGACTTCAGACAAACTTTGTGGACCACTACAAACTAGTTGCTTCTGAAAGCTCCCTTGCATATCCATGTCTTTGTCATATGGGAAACTTTATAAACGTGTGGCTATCCTAGTGAAAATTAGTTCCTACCTAGAAAAAGAGTGAAACTTAAGAGGGTTTCCCAACCAAGTTGGGAAATGGTAAATTGACTGGTAAGAATGAAACAGTGTCTTCTATTGCCATTGAAATAATATGTTCATGGACAGTATCAAAAGTTTTACAAAGCAATACAATTAAAAAGTAAAACTTGGAATGATAAGATACACAGATTGCAACTATGTAAAAAGTACAGCCACAGGAAAGAAGTCTTTTCTAACTCTCTTCACACATGCTCATATTTCATTCTTAGAAGCTCTAATTTTTTTCTGCTATCCCTTCGACTATCACTCTGTATTTCTCCTCCCTTTCCTAGCCACACTGCTCAAATAAAGCTATGTACCCTCCATCTCTACTTTCTCATCTGCCACTATTCAGCCCTTTGCAATCTGACTTCTGTCCCTACCACTAGACTGAAATTGCTATCTGCAAGGTAACCAATGGTCTCTTTATTGCTAAATCCTTTGTTTTGTTCAGTCCCTGTTCTTGATCTCTTGGCAGTATTTGACACCATTAACCATTCACTTGTTCTGTCTTCTCTTTTGTCCATGGGTACTTCTAAGCTCTCTTTCTACTTTTATCTGACACATTCTTCTTGGTCTTCTTTATAAAGTCATTATCACGTGCCCCCACTATCCTTCTAAGAATGAAATATGAGCATGTGTGAAGAGAGTTAACAGTTGTGTAAACAGTTCAACTTTAATAAGTCCCTTATGATATCTCTTCCTTGTTTACCTCTTCATGCTTCTCTTCAGTCTTGTATTTGAAAGTCGAATTTTCTATTCAGCTCTGGTCTTTTCATCAAGAATGCTTGAAAGTCCTCTATTTCACTGAATATCCATTTTTCCCCCTGAAGGATTATACTCAGTTTTGCTGGGTAGGTGATTCTTGGTTGTAATCCTTTCTCCTTTGCCCTCCAGAGTATCAAATCCCTCTGGTCCCTTAATGTAGAAGCTGCTAAATCCTGTGTTATCCTGATTGTGTTTCCACAATACTTGAGTTATTTCTTTCTGGCTGCTTGCATTATTTTCTCCTTGACCTGGAAACTCTGGAACTTGGCTACAATATTCCTAGGAGTTTTCCTTTGGGGATCTCTTTCAGGAGATGATCAGTGGATTCTTTCAATTTCTATTTTGCTCTCTGGTTCTAGAATATCAGGGCAGTTTTCCTTGATAATTTCTTGAAAGATGATATCTAGGATCTTTTTTTTTAATTATAGCTTTCAGATAGTCCAATAATTTTTAAACTATCCCTCCTGTATCTATTTTCCAGGTCAGTTGTTTTTCCAATGAGATATTTTACATTTTCTTCTATTTTTTCATTCTTTTGGTTTTGTTTTTACAATGTCTTGATTTCTCATAAAGTCACTAGCTTCCATTTGCTCCATTCTAATTTTTAAGTAAGTATTTTCTTCAGTGAACTTTTGGACTTCCTTTTCCATTTGGCCAATTCTACTTTTGAAGGCTTTTTTCTCCTCATTGGCTTTTTGGACCTCTTTTGCCATTTGGGTTAGGCTATTTTTTTTAAGGTGTGTTTTCTTCAATATTTTTTTGGGTCTCCTTTAACAAACTGTTGACTAGTTTTTCCTGATTTTCTTGCGTCACTCTCATTTCTCTTCCCAGTTTTTGCTCTACTTCTCTTACTTGCTTCTAAAAATCCTTTTTTAGCTTTTCCATGGCCTTGGAGGCTTTGTATGTAGGAGCTTTGACTTTGTTGTCTTCTTCTGGTTGTATGTTTTGATCTTCTTTGTCACCAAAGAAAGATTCTATGGTCTGCCTTTTTTTTTGCACAGTTTGCTCACAATCCCAGCCAATTACTCGAGTTTTAAACTCTTTGTTAAGGTAGGGGTCTGCTTCCAAAGTGGAGAATGGGAGTTTTTGGGGGTTTTGTGCAGCTATTTTAGAGATACTTCTAGGGACCTATAAGTTTTCAGTTTTTCCAAGGTGGTATGATCAGAGGCAAGGTGTTTACTCCTCTCCTGGCCTAGGCTTTGGTCTATGATTGACCACAAGCATTCTTTTCTGCCTTGGAACTGTGAGGGGGATTCTCTCTCCGCTGCCATCACAAGCGCCACCACGCCAGCACCCCTTCTTGCCCCAGGATCACCACCCAGGACTTTGACTCAGTTCCAAGCATGGGCAAAGCAAGAGAATCCTGCCTTAGCACCAGCAAAGAGATCCCTGCAATCCCCCTCTGATCAGCCACTTGATTCCCCCTTGGTCTGTGGGCTGGAAGCTCCAAAGTAGCTGCCACCCCAGGGCTTTGCCAGAACTGGGGCTGGTACCTAGCTTCTCTCTCATTGTAGTCACAGACTTTTCCTACTGATCTTCTAAGTTATCTTTGGTGTTTGTGGATTGAGAAGTCTGGAAATTGCCACAGCTTCCCGTGATTCAGTCTCCTGAGGCCTGCTTCAGGTTTGCTGAGGCCTCCTCTTTGCCTACATAGCCCATGCTTAACTGTGTTCCTCTCCCAGCCCAGCACAATAGATCTTTCCAATCAACCATCTTGGGCTGGAAATTTGTTTCTTTCTGTCTTTTTGTGGGTTCTTCTACTCTAGAATTTTTTTTAAAATTTTTATTTTTAAAATTTTTTTCCATATGCTTTTGAGTTGAAAATTTTTCTCCCTTTTCCTCCCCCCCCCCCTCCCCAAGACGGCACACAATCTGACATAGGCTTTACATTTACATACCCATTAAACATATTTTCACATTAGTGAAGTTGTAAGTAGAAATTAAAACCAATACAAGGAACCATCAGAAAGATGAAACAAAACTCAACAGAAGGTAAAAATAAGTGATACCGATTCGACTTCCATAGTTCTTTCTTTGGATGTGGACAGCATTTTCCATCCCGAGGCCTCTGGAGATGTCTTAGATCCTCGTAATGCTGAGAAGGGTTCAGTTTAACATTCTTAGTCATTGAGTAATGTGGCTGTTATTGTGTACAGAGTCCTCTTGGTTCTGCTTACTTTACTCAGCACCAGACCATATAAGTCTTTCCAGGTTTTTCTGAAGTCAGCCTGTTCATCATTTCTTATAGCACAATAGTATTCCATTACATTCATATACCACAACTTGCTCAGCCATTCCCCAATTGATGGGCATCCTCTCAATTTCCAATTCTTTGCCACCACAAAAAGAGGTGCTATGAATATTTTTGTACATGTGGGTCCTTTTCCCATTTGTTTGATCTCTTTGGGATATAGCCCTAGAAGTGCTATTGCTGGATCAAAGGGTATGCACATTTTTGTAGCCCTTTGGGCATAGTTCCAAATTGTTCTCCAAAATGGTTGGATCATTTCGCAGCTCCACCAACAATGTATTAGTGTTCCAATTTTTCCACATCCTCTCCAACATTTATCATTTTGCTGTTTTGTCATGTTGGCCAATCTGATAGGTGTGATGTGGTATCTCAGAGTTGTCTAGAATTTGTTTAGAGCCATTTTTTACAGGTATTTGGAGGGGTTTGGGGGAGAGCTCAAGCAAGTCACTGCTTTTATTCCACCATCTTGGCTCCAGCCTCTAGTATGTTTTTGATAGGTGTGATTTCAACAACAGACCTTTCTCACTCCAAGTCTAACACTTTCCCCATAGATGGTATCCTTGGTAGAAATATCAAGGTGGTGGGTGTGTGGTAGGGGGGATGACATTGAAGTTTCAAGCCTAGGTGATTAGGAGGATAGTGATGTTCTTGATAATGACCTTGAAGTTAGGGTAGAGGAAGAAGATAATGGGTTGTATTTTGGACTTGTTGAGTTTGAGATGCCTATAGGGCATCAAGTTTAATGCATCCAAGAGGCAGTGAGAGATCTGTAACTTTAGTTCAGGAGAGAGGTGAAGGCTGGATATATAGATATGGGAATCAACTGCATAGAGATAAGAATTGGGGCTGATGAGATTACCACATGGGACAGTATAGAGAGAAAT